AGCACGTTGCTCCTGGTCACCACCAAATAGGTCCAGTCGCTAAGACTAGGTTTCTGCTCTAATTTTCTATTCTAGTTACCTAGAATAGAAATAGAATAGGCTGTAACCCTATTCTTCTGGCCTGTCCCCACCTCCCTTTCTCCAAGGACTAAAACCTAATTCCTTTACCTCTTAGCTACTGACAACTCAAGATGTTATCACTCACCTGACTTTTGGCAATTCCCAAGGATTCAAAGAGGCAATAAGATAGAAATTCTTGTGATTTTTCTTCACCCAAACAACCAGACCCACAAAAAAAAAAAAAAAGGAAGAATCTTGAATTAGACTCATCTTGGATAACCCTGGACAACTGGAATATTCCATTCAATTCAACTAAACAAAAATGTCTCAAGTTTCATGCGTGTCTGGCATTTTTTCAGCTTTTGGAATAGGAGTGATTAATACGACACAGCTCCTGCCTGCCCCAAGCATGTTGCTAATTGGGAAAACATACATATAAACATAGCTCCTTAATTTAATATAGTACATAATGTGGCTGCAGGGTTTCATAAGATATGAATTTGTGTTTCATCAAGAGTAGTGTGTGGGTCCCACAGAGGAGCACAAAGGCAATGCAGGGGAGAAGGGACTGGGCAAGAGTCGAAAGAGGGAGAAAGAAAGTGCCCAACACTAAAAGGACACATCAGGTGGCGTTGTGTGAGCAGCAGCCACCTACACTGCCCGGGGGGTGCCAGGACCTCTGAGGGAGCTCCCTAGGGGGGTGGCTGCAAGGAGACTTCCCCCAGGTCCCAGCAAAGAGCCACACACACAAGCCTGGGATGGGATCCTCGGCACTGTCTGCTGACCCAGAGCCAGGCCAGACAAGGGGCGAACCAAGGAGTGGAGCGCTGGACAAGCAGTGAACCAAAGGTGGTCAGCTCAGCCATGAGTAGAGTCCTCCCAGATGCCAGCCTCCAGCCAAGTCCCCCTGCATAGATTTTTGGGATGAGTGGAACAAACCCCAATTGTAGAGATGAGGGAGATTTCTGCCAGCCTTGGAAGAAGTGGGGCAGAAAACTGATTATAATTGACTGTATAAAAATAAAGCTCTATGACTGTTGTGCATTGTGCATGCACGTGTGTGTGTGCATGTGTGTGTGTGTGTGTGTGTGTTTGTGTTTGTGGATTTAAAACCACTCTATAGTGATAGCATGGGATACACAAGAAATACAGTGGAGGGCACCAGACCCAGATGTTGAGTCCTGTGAAACCTGCATGGAAAAGCTGATGGGAAGACTGGGTCTTAAAGCATGAGTTAGAGAGAAGTAAGGAAGGGGCATAGTGGGGAATCCAAGTGAGATGACGTGTGTGGGGGTCGGGGAGATTGAAGGAAAACTCCACAGAGGGCATCCCCCCACAGATCTGCCTTGGGGTCCACCCCCACAATGCCCTTAGCTTTGGCACACTGCTGCTCCCTACCTTCTATTTGCAAGCAGCCCATGATACCTGGCAACATGTTTGCATGACCCACTCTGACCCTCTGTCAGGAAATACCCTAAAGCCACAACCATAAGAGTGTCTCATTTACTTTGCTGTTAATTTAGGGCTCATAATCTTCTGTCAACACTAGGATGATAGAACATTTAAACTGAAGGTTTAATAACAACTTGTTCAAAATTGTTCTTTTGCAGATGGAGAAACTTACGACCAGAAGTGGGAAATCACTTGCCATGCAGCCAGAAAGGGGAGGAGCTGGAATCTGCATCCAGGTCTCCTGATGGCTAATCCTGTGCTGGGGGTCAGCAGCTGCTTTGTAGAACTGCAAGGGGCCATATTCAGCTTGTATCTGGGGCCACATTCAGCTTGTATTCTATTGTATTCTATGAGATTGGCTCCCCAGGCACCCCTCAGAGTTGTGTGATGTGGAGCCCTGAGGGCATACTGCACTGCCCCCAACAAAGGGCAGCAGACACTGGCCAGAGGCCCACAGCTTCACAAGCCACCTGGGCATCAGCTTCTCTCCAGTGTCCATGCCTGACGCATTAGGAGTTAACAATGGTGTGGAGAAATGGCAGGAAATTGTATCAGGCATTCCCATCTTCAGGCAAGAAAGGGCCCAGTGCCAGGGAAGAACATAGTGCCTTCTTCAGCCACAGAAATGAGCTCGGCAGGGAGAGGAATCAGAGATGACTCTATTTGCCTTCTTTTTCAAACAACCACCTCCCAAATTCTCCCACCTCTAATTCTCTGCTACTGCCATTAAGAGGCCAAAAAACAAGCATTTGAAGATTTCCCAGGACATAAGTGGAGGGCAGAAAATGTGCTCTTGTCACTGGAGCAGCAAAGGCCAAGTGAGGTCCTTTAACTGCCCCCACCCTGGACATCAGCCTCCAGCCCCAGGTGGCATGCATCCTAAGGGTACAGTGGTGGGCTGAAGAACTGTCTCTAAAAATCCACTTTTCCTAGGAAGGGGGAACTTGAGAAGCTCAGAGCATTGGAAAGTAATGAAAACCTTATTGATGGAGAAGCTAATAAAAAGAAGAGACCCATGGACAGCGTGGAGGGGGCTAGGCCCAGAGACCAGGCAGGCAAGAGCTTTCCAGCTAAGGGCGACTCCCAACTGGCTGGAGAAGGGAATTCTGTGACAACTGGCTTGTATTTGGGCTAGAGCCACTCAGAGGAGTCTTCAAAGAAAAGTAAGAAGTGGGAGGGCCAGCCAACTGGAGATTTCTGGAAATGGGACTTTCAGATACTCCCCAATTCAGATTTTTATATACTGAACTAGCTCCATGCTAAAGTTACTCCAAAAAAAAAAAAGAGAGAGAGCAAGAAGCTAGATTATCCTGCCCTTCTTAGATGGTTACAATGTCCTGTTCTAGCCTAGTGTGCAGGTTCACTTGGGAGGTGAGTGAACTTTTGGGAGCAGGACTGGCAGAGCAGGGCTCCAGGGAAGCCTGGCCTCACAGAACTGCCACACACCATGGCCCAGGCCTGTGGCCTCCTTAGAGGTAGAAGGGGCTTGCAAGGCAGTAGTATCAAAACATGTACACAAGGATTATCTGACGCTTCTTCAGTCCAAGGTGGAGTCTACTCCCCCCTCAACTATGGGCCAGTCTTAGTGACTTGCTCCTAACTAATAGAATGCACCACAAGTCATTTGCAAGACTAAATTATAAAAAGTGATAGATGATGGACTTTCCATCTGATGTTTTCCCTCCTCCTCTCCATCTCCCTGTCCCTCTCCCTCTCTCCATGAGGATCTCTCCCTGTCCATCAGATGCTGGCACTGGGCACCCAGGCACCATCTTGTGAGGAAGCCAGATCGCCCCTTGAAAAAGCCACACAACCACATACAGGCATGAGGGAGACTTCAGACAACTGTAGCCCAGGCCCTGACTGGGAACTGCCTCAGATGGTTCCAAGTGGGACAGAGATGAGCTGCCTCTGCCTCCACTGCAGATTCACAAGCAAAATAAATGTTGTTATTGACTTCAGCTACCATAGTTTAGGAGGCGTGTTTTATTGCATACTGGTTAACAGCCGTACTAGAAAACTTCTTGCTCAAGCTTTTTCTTGGTGTTTGGAAACTGAGACCTCAGAGCTCAGGGAGAATAACACAGGGTCAAGGCTGCTCTGAGATGAGGTCAAGCTGCTGCTCAGACTCCAGCTTTTGGCCTCCCCAGGTATAGTGGTCAATTCTGAGTGTCAACTGGACTGGATTAAGGGATGCCCAGATAGCTGGTAAAGCATCATTTATTTTCAGTTGCTGTATTAATTATTCTCAATGCTTCAGTAGGCAGTTTGACATTTGATGAGAGTAATTGGGTTGCCCCAGATGTGTCTGTGGGACATTTCTAGAAGAGATTCATGTGTGAGTCAGTGGACTGAGTAGGAAAGAACCACCCTCAATGTGGGTGGGTACCCTCAAATCAGCTGGGGTCTCAGATGGGACATAAGGTGGGGGAAGGGGAATTCCTTGCTTGTTCACTCTCTGCTGAAGTTGGGGCACCCTTCTTCTCCTGCTCTTGGACATCATTACTCCAGGTTCTCCAGTCTTTGGGCTCCAGGACTCACCCCAACTGCTCCTACACCCCCACTCTGTGTTCTCAGGTCTCTGGCCTCAAGCTAAGCCATCAACTCCTCAGGTTCTGAGGCTTTGAGATTTGATCTGAGCCATGCTGCCAGCTTCCCCGGGCCTCTGGCTTACAGACATCCTGCCACGGGATTTAGCCCCCATAATCATGTGAGCCAATTCCCCTAATGAACTGTTCATCTCTCACTCTATTACATATAGATTTTATATATACACACACACTATGTATATATCAGTTCTATCTCTGAAGAACCCTGAATAAAACACCAGCCTATGCCTCTCCCTCTGCCCCGCAGGTGGACACATGGACTGTCTTTGCCACCTGCGCATTCCCAGCAGACAGGGGAAGAGGAGGCAGCCCCAACCCACTGGGTGCCCCCACAAACAATCTTTATCTTCTCATGCAGATGTCAGTCCCCGGGCTGGGCTGCTCCCCACCACTCAGGATCCTGGGAATGGGACTTCTTGCATGTCACTTGTTCCTGTTTGTATGAAAGAGTTTGGACACCTGGCAGAGGCTAGGGGAACAACTACAGTGCCTTTTGCAGGGCTCTACACACTGGGGCTGCAGCCCCACACAGAGGTGGGGAGAGCTGTTCCCAGCCCTGGCGTGGCTGCCTGAACACACCAAGAACCTTGTCTGAAGTCGGGGGAGCCCAGATCCTGGAGTTAACAAGAGAAACATCGGAGCAGCCTCTTTCACAGGCTCTCTTCCACACAGAAAGGTGGCATCCAGTTCCCTACAAAGAAAGCACAGGCCATCTTACAGAGAACTTGTCACCAGAAGAAAAAAGTGCCGTGCTCCTTGTTGGGCTCTGGGGAGCTGACTGCTGGGATGGATGGACTGGAGCCTACCGGCGGCAGCCTCACAGAGCCCAGAGGCAGGGTCGCTAAGAACCAGGAGAAAGGCCCCAGGCCCCATGATGACTCCCACTCTTCAATGCTTGTGCTTCAGTGTGCATCCCAGATGGCAGTCCTGGCATTCAACAAGATCCAATCAGTCAGTAAAAACATGCTCAGCAGTTGCTGGGAGCCAAAGTGACTCTGGAATGACTGGAGGGGATGGGGGATCCTGTCCTTGAGGAGCTGAGACCCTTCCCCTACAGCACCCACCAAAGGAAAAAAAATAGTGAACACACTGTGCAACGGGAGCTGAGGGGATGCTGCCCAGGTGAAGCAGGAAATGGACAGGTAGGCTGACAGGCAGGAGGAGGGACAGGCCCAAAGGTGGAGCCTCAGGAGCTCAGTGAGAAGCTGTTGAGCGTCCTCAGTTAGCCTTGGTCTGGACCCACTGTTCTCCCACAGGCCCGATGCTCTTCCCCTGAAAAGAAGACCCCCCAGATCTGATCCCACCACCTTTCCAGCACCCACCCTCTCTGCCCTGCTGCACCATCCATGCGCCGCCAGGTCAGAACAACTTAGACCCAGGTCCAGGCACCCTCTTCTGGACACTCCTCTGAGCACCCACCACCCACCCCAGCTCCTTCTCACCCTAAGTATACCTACCCATCACCCTTACTTCATGAAACTCCTGAATCTGTCTCCCACTCTGTGCTGGGATTTCATGCCCTTCCTCTCGGCAGATGCAGTGCGTGTTCAGGTCCAGTACAGAATAAGTTCTTCATAATTCCTGGGTGACTGGAGGGCTCAGAGACCCGCAGGAAGCTCCATTTGATAAAGTAAGACAGACCCACAGTCCATTTCAATGCAGGGCTTAATCAACATAATTAGGCTGTAAGTGAAGGCCACACACAAATGCTGTTGAGCCCAACAGAGGGTGAGAACACTTCTTACCAGGCTTCAGGAAGACTTCTTGGAGGCAGGGGCACAGGACACATTCCCTGCAGAATCTTCAAGACTGGAAGGGTTGATAAACCAGAAGAGGAGAGGAGAGGAGGTTGCTGATGCAGGCAAATCAGTTCTAAGCAAGACAAGGTAGTAAGAGACTGAATGACATAATTGAATCAGGGAAGAGCGCACTGTCCCTGGGTGGGAAGGGAGGATTCACGTCTGCAGCAGTGGGCTTGGGCTGCCATGAGAAAGTACCACGGACTGGGCAGCCTAAACAATAGAATTGCATCTGCTCCCAGTCTGGAGGCTGAAAGTCTGAGACCAGGGTGTTAGCAGGGCTGGCTTCTCCCGAGACCTGCAGATGCCATCTTCTCCCTGTGTCTTCAATGGTCTTCCTGTGTGCATGTGTGTCCTAATCTCCTCTTCTTATAAGACCATGAGTCCTGTTGAATTAGGGCTCACCCTATGGCCTCATTTTAACATAATTAACCACTTAAAGGTCTCATTTCTAAATACAGCCACATTCTGAGGTGTTAGGGATTAAGGCATCAACATAGGAATTTAGGGGGCACAAAATTCAACCCATATTAATGCTGTCATGATGCCCCAACACAGTGGGCCAAGGTGGATGGTAGGGGCCTGGAGAAGGGGCCACCCAGGGCAGGGAGAAGGCAGCTCAGCCCTGGCTGGCACACATAGAAAGCAGGCACAGAAGGGTAAGCCAGTGCCTCTGAGCAGCCCTGAGCCCTAGGCACACCAGCAGGGCTGGAGTGCGGAGAAGCGCTGGAGAGCATGTCCCGGGCCCAGCCCTGAGTCTCACTCCTGCCAGTGTTGCGGAGGCTGACCCCACCCGGAAGAAATGCACCTTGTCCCTAGTTGGGTTCCCCAGAAGCAGACACTGCGATGAGGATCCACACACAGCCGAATCGCTAAAGATGTGCCTCCCAGAGACAGGTGGGGGACTGGGAGAGGAGAGGAGGAAGACAGCCGGGGTGTGGTCTTGGACCGAGGGTCCTGCATCCCACAGGCACAGACAGGGAAGGGGGCACAAAATCCCCCAGGCACTTCTGCTCCCTGCAGGTAAAGCAGCTCCTATAACCCAGGAATCCTACAGGGACCAGCCCAGGCCCTGATGCCAAAGCTGCCCTCAAGTGAGAGTGGGAGGGAAACAAGAAGAAGAGATCTGAGGGGATCTTGGCCAAGCATGGAGATGATCTAGGACACACCCAAAGAGAGCCTATGCCTGCACGGGTGCTTTCAGCGGCGTAAGGCGAAAACGCAACCGCGATGGCTTCAACCACACGGGCATTGATTACTTTACAGAACAAGAAATCTGAGCTATGGTGTCTGTGAGGCTGGCTCAGAGATGTCTTGAACAATTCAAGTTTTGTCCACCTTTTCACATTAATCCTTCCGGCCTACTGACTTAGTCCTCAAACTTGTTGTTTCATGCTTACAAAACAGCTGCCACAGTCCCAGACATCGCACGCAGACATGAAGAGATTCAGCCAAAGCAGAAATAGGAGTTCTCGCCCACATTGTTTTGAGAACATTCCAGGTAAACGTCCCTTCAAGCCTCAGTAACCAAGGTTGTATCCCTGCTCCTTAGTAAAGCAATCACTAGCCACAAAAACTGAATGACCATGATTATTATTAAGCTGGAGTTAGCCCTTCAGCCTTCAGCCCTGGAGGGGCCCAGCATCCCCCACACATATTGCAGCCTGAGCACCTTATGCCTGAATGTATATGTAGCTCAGCTAACAGGATAGGGGAGGGAGTGGCCTTGGGTAGGATCTACCATAGAGGTAGTACTTTAAGCCAAAGAAAAGCAACAGCTATGCTTAAATTCTCAACATCTGTGGACCTGGAGGGGAACTGCTTGTGGTCTCCAGGCCTTCCTAGTGATCCTGAAATAGCACCATGCGTTTCCTTGGCAGTCTCTGCTTCCTTGACAGGCTCATTCAGCCTGGGCTCACAGAGCTTCTCTGCCCCCGCCTCCCCCACCCCCGTGCACACAGTGCCCTCTCCTGCACAGCAGTTGCCAAAGCCTTACACATCAGCTCACGGCATGGCCCACCCTGCCTCTAGTGTCCACACAGTGTATCAAGTAAACGTCCAGCCCCATTACTGCAGCTCTGTGCCCCATGTCAGCACCTCACCCAATGCCAGAAGGTGGAGTTAGGTGGGGACCAGAGGGGCCCATGAGCTGGACAGCCCGCCCCAGCCATTTACACAGTCCATGCATGGCCTCCACCGCCAGATCTTTTCACAGCAGCTTGTCAAGAGTGAAGAGGAGCTGGGAGGTCCCTGGAGAAGCCTCCTCTGGCAGCACAAAGGGTTTCTGAAGACTCCAGCTGGAGGACAGGATGGGCTGGCAAGAGGCTATCTAACACTGTCCCCAGCCCCTTCCTCAGCTGGGGTTTCTGATTCACAGCATTGGAGCTGCTCTCTGACTCCTCATTGCTCCAGAAGGACCCCTGGCATCAGTGTGCCCCTGAGCACCAGACTCTCCCCTCCACAGGCAGTGAGGGCACTGCCTGGCTGTCCCCAGGAGCTGGCATCAGGTTAAAGTGGTAGCTTCCCAGGACACCCCAAGAAATTCCACAGTCACCAAGCATTGAGGGGTGGCCTCATGAGGGTGGTGGGGCGGGGTATCCCTGGGCTGGACTTGGCCAGTGAAGGCTCGCTGCCCACTCTGGGTCTTTGGAAGAGCTCATCCCCAGAGCCGGGGGAAGCCCTGTGGAGACCTGGTTCTCCTCCAGTGTGCGTCGCTGCCTGCTGCTCAGGGCCCTAACATAAGTGCTCCCACCCCCTCTGCATGCCCACTGCCTCTCTGGAGTTTGCTGTCAGCTCAGCCCAGGGGAGAGAGAACAACCGTCTTTCCAGTGTGTCAAGCTTTGCACTGGCTCAGCACATGTGGGGCGCCAGCTGGCTGCACTTCCAGGGCTGCCAGCACTTCAGGCAAGCTCTCTCCCACTCAAATGCCCAACTCTTCATGAAATTTTTGCCTGTTTAATTTAAATCCTTGCTTTGTCCATTTAAACTTAATGGTGTTGTGATAGCAGGCAGGGGCGGGGAGGAGCAGCCTGGACAAAGCATGACATGGCCTTAGTCATTCATTCTTGAGTTTGCTCCTAGGTGTCCTGCGACCCACAGCAACCCACAGAGCTGGGAGAGGCATGAGACCCTGCTAACAGATAAGCAAGTCCAAGTCGGAAAAGAGAGGCCACTTGTTTAAGTCTCATACCAAAGTGAAAGCTTCTCCATTCAAATCGTATGACCCTAAAGTTGGATTTTGTCAGGGTTGGTGTACCCAACCTGGAGAATAACAGAATAAAGGTGGCTTCTTTAAAAATGCTTTTGTGCAATCTCTCTCTCTCTCTCCATTTCTCTCCTTGAATCTCAATGCTATAGCCAAAAGCACAGAACTCGTCCCCAGTGTCTATCCCTTCCCTCCCTCCAGTGTGGATCCTGCAGGAAAGCCACAATCTGCAGACAGGAATCTCCTGTGGAGTGAGAGAGCAGGTCTCAGCAACCCCAAGAGTCCACCTGCTGGGGGATACTTTTCTGTGTCACTCAGGGCATCCACTCAGAAAAGGCAGGAGAGGGAGCTGGAGCCGGGTCACCAGCAGCCACCTGCCTGGAATGAGTCTAAAAAGAAAAGGAGCTGGGTGGGGGGGGGTGGTTCCTGGGGACCAGAAACCAGGCATTCTGGGCCTGGGGGTACAGAAAACAGGAAGAAGCTGCTCACCTCCCCACCCATGGGGGCCTGCAGGAGGGGAGAATAGGGAGAGAGGACCAGAGCCCCCAGCACTGCAGCTGCCGCCACAATAGAGGCATTGAAGCTGGTGTGGCAGAAGCATTCAGGGGCTGGAAGAAGAGCATGGAGGGGAGGGGCCGCCAGGAGAGCCCCAGATGAGAGGGTCTGACGTTCTCCTGACCTTTAAGTCTGGCCTCAGTGCCAAGAAGGGCAGACCGGACTGCCAACAGCCCCCTGGGCTCATGCCTGCATCTCATTATCTGCCCTGCCCCCAGAAGCATCAAATGCCTGGTTGTTCTCGCAGTCCCCACCCTGCTGCCTGTCACATCCTTTGCTGAAAGATGTGCTGAAGACTCGGCGAAAGAAGGGGCAGGGCCTGAGTGGAGCCCCCACTCCATGCTTGCTCCTGTGCTCTTCCTCGCTCCCCAGGTCCCCTTGTAAGCAGATGCCTCTGGAGGCTGGAGACCTGGGTCTTCTCCTTTCCTCTCCCTGATACGGTGATGGGGCTTGCTCCAGGGACAGGAAAAGTGAGAACCCAAGTCTCTCTAGAGAGAGGCCCAGAGAGGGCCTAGTCTAGAGCTGGCTTGGTTGTGAGTGGCCAGTGTGGTTCCCACGCATTCACGCCAGTCTCGGCCCTGGCTCTGGATCTCACTTACTGTGGGCCCCTAGAAGTTCCTTTGCCCTCAGACCTGCAAGCATATCTCCTATACAATAAAGAGATTAGAGAGCAGGATCCCAGAACCAGTATGCAATCTGTTGAGCTGACTTTGCCACTGGTTGCACACACACTCTGATGGGAGCAGGGTGCGCTTACATCCCCGTCAACATCTCTCAAATCTATTCACTCTTTCCATCTCCACCTCACTGCCTTAATCCTGTGTGCCACCATCCTTGCCTGGACCAATATTCTCCAAGCCTCCAGGTCTGAAGACCCCCTCCAATTCATCCACTCAATAGTGAAATGCAAACCTGACTGTATCACTCACCTCCTAAAATCCCTTCAAACACTTCACATTGCTTTTGAGCTAAAGATGCAAATCCCTCACGTGGCCCGGAAAGCCTTGCATTGTCCAGCCTCACCTCTCAGCCTCCTATTCTCTTCTTTACTTCCCTGCTTTCCATCAGACAACAAAGTGCCAGGTCAGGAGCAATGTCTGGTTCTGTTCATTACCCTGTCTCCAGCGCGTGGTGTCATTCCAGGCTCAGCCAACAGAATGAAGTGGGCAAATGAATGAGGAACACCAAAGATGGCCATCATCTCTCTTAGAGGTGAGGAGGACAAGCCCCCTTGCCCAAAGCGCCTTGTCACATTGATGCCTGATGTTCCACCATCAGAAGCCAAACTAGATGCCTCCCAGGTCTCAAACTCTACAGAGCCTTTGTTTCAAGAGATCCAATGTATGCTTACAAGATACATTGTAAACCCATGAGACAGCTTCCTTTCGTTGATTGCCTGTAATGTGACAAGCACTTTGCATTTGGTGCAGATCTCCTGATGGCCCTGTGCTCTCATTCAGATGTGCAGAATTAGGCCCCTATCAAGCTTCCATGCAATGACCAGCATGGAACCAGGAGCTGCCTGAGGAAAACGGGAGCCATGTGTTTTTCTGTCTGGAGATAAACCAGATTCCAAGGGGACACCGGTGCCCTGGGAAAGATGTCAGTTAGTGAAGTTTCTCAGGCCAAGAAGTAATCGGCAGGATATGTATGCTCAAGGGGTCAGTGGTGCTACAGCATCTGCAGGGTTGGTCCTGCAAGAGGCCTCCTTCCCCAAGCCTGCACCATCCATGGCATTATCAGAAGGCCACACGTTCTTTTGGGGCCCCGTGAAAGAACAGTTCTGTGGTCAAACGTTTACAGC